CCGCATATGTTTTGTACTTCCTGAATCCAGCCAGCCTGTTCCGGTCGTAGCTTTGAATCCAGCTCATCCTTTAGTCTTTCCAGGATGATGCGGCTTAATATTTTGCTTGCTTTGGGTGGACAGGAGTGTGATTCCGCGCCAGTTCTTGCGAAGACATAGGTCTCCCTATACTCAGTAAAGTAACAGATAATTACACTAAGAAGAGACTTGCTCAGTCAATATGCAAAATATACAATCGGTGTAGGTGGTGATATTTGTTCAAGTGGAACAGATAGAAAACTGATCATTGAAGATGGAACGAATTGATAACAAGTGGTGAGATAAGCGACAAGTGTTGTCAAAGAATTTTGAAACGGTGATAATTAAGCTGAAATGTGTAAAATAGGTCAATGATTAAGGAATGAATTGATATTAAAAAGGGTCAAATGTTGTCACTGAAGTGAAAATTGATGATAATGATGATAATAGAAGAGAAGTATACCGAAGTGAACTGAAATTGATAAAATCAACAAAATGAATTGTTAGGGCCAAGGTAGAGAAAGTGGTTTCACAAAACATTTTTCAATGCAAAGTTTCGGTTTTTGTTCATGTATTGGTAATGCTTCAGCTATGCATAAGTAGTGGAAACGTAAACCTTTGGAATAGTTCAATGTAACTTTGTAAATTATTTTGAAGGATGAATCTCGAGGTGCTGAGTGTCCCAATTCAACAAGGTGTTCACATATGGATGGAGTCGTTTTCCTTTGATCGCCTCCGGTAAGCCAATCCGAGTAGTGTTCAGCAACACGTTTTCAGAGGGCTCGCTTACAACTTCCAATATAGTCAGCTCCACAGGAGCATGTGAACTTGTAGATACACATAGATGTCAATTCATTCCTTATACATTGACCTATTTTACACATTTCAGCTTAATTATCACCGTTTCACAATTCTTTGACAGCACTTGTCGCTTATCCCCTTAAACAAATACCACCACCTACACCGATTGTATGTTTTGCATATTGACTGAGCAACTTCTTAGTGTAATTATCTGTTACTTTACTGAGTATAAATACGACTGTACAGCTTGATGATGAAGTTGTTGAAAAGAAATATTTCTTCTTAGCTGTTACATGCCTTGTTCTTGGTATGGGTATGGGTATATTTCTTCAGTCAGTCATATCCTTAACACAATTTATACACTAGAAGTTTTAGGAAATAAACTGTGACTTATTTCATCTTTGTATCTGGGAACCCGAAGTACACTTTATCATAAAAACTAATCAAAGTTGACAAACAGTAAGTTCAGTAACAGAAACTTTGAGTAAAAACAAAAAAAATAGACACATGGACAAAGCGAGGGGAGACAAACCTAGAATTACTACCGTACAAAAGAAACCGTTGTTCACGAAACTGCAACTTAGTAGGCATGTAGCCGAAGAAGTTTTGTATCGTAGACTCTCTAGAGCTATTGAAAGAACCTTCTATGCCGCACAGCTTTGTCTATCATTTTCCAGTCGACCAACTGTCAGACAGAAGATAAAAATGATCTAGTTTTGACATTTCTATGTGTATTTACAGGTTTAGCTGGTCCTGTGGAGAAAGCTATATAGGGCGTACTACTAGACAACTTAACAAACGTGTTACTGAGCATCTACCTTCACGGTTGGGAAAGGGACGGATAAAATCCATTGGAAGCTCTGTGGTCACTCGGTAGATAAGAATATTGCTTTCACGATTATACGCCGCATGCCACGTCATCTTTCAAAAGGTATTCAAACTCATCTCTTACACCACATAGCAGAAGCTGTGGGAATTCAAGCTAATAATTTTAACATTTGTATCCAGAAGAAATTTGTTCATCCCTTATCTCTCTCTCCCTTGGCCAGGGAATACTTAGTTAATAATTTTATCACTCAGTTTTTTCCCACCCCTTTTCTTTGTCTCCACCGCTTTTGTATACTTACTGTATTTGTCTGGACTTTGTTTATCCCCTTACCTCACCTCTTCACTATTACGTAACTTTTATTTTCATAAGCTTTTGACCCATTTCGATTATCGGAGTGTCTATATTTTCATGGTGTTTTCCTGGGTCTTATCATCATTATCATCATCTATACTGTATGTGCTCTGGTCAACATTATCACTTTATCATTATTATTATTGTTTGTATTATTATCTCCATCGTTTTATGAAACAATCATCACACCAACCTACAAATCTACATGATTGATTTAATTTTCTATATATATTAAGCTATTTGTATAAGAGTGAAGACTGAAGAGGATCTAATTGAAAACAATATTGTTCGCTTATATGTCTTGGACCAGGCATTACGGTCCAACTTGCCACACCTCATATCACTACATCAAGTAAAAAGGTAGTGAGGTGTAAGATGAAGATAAGAGAATGCAGTCAAAACAATAATAAACTACTAAAAGAGAGAAACGAAGAATGAGAAAGTGTTGAGATTCGGTAAGGCGTCGTTAAGATGAGGATAATGTATGTGGGGATACATCTGTGCCACTGACATCAATTCTCAGCCATGTCATCACCTACAGTCAGTCTCCAACCACTACTGCTTTCTCTTGTCCCACCCACCCCAATCACCCAGTCTGCATCACCGCCCCCCCTACCCCACCCCCACATGGATCAAACCAACAGTCAAACACTTCAGACATTCATGACATGTTGTAGTCTGGCCGTCTCGGGTCTTTTTCCACACTGAACCTACTTCAGTCAACATTGTGTGATCAGGCAATTGGCGACTAGGCATATGTAACACGTGTCCCAGCCAACCATCTCAGTCGATGAAGGTTCACTATCGTGTCAACTGATTTACCTTTTCTCCCTAAAACTCTATACCTGAGCCTGACTTCTGCGTTACACATGTGGTGACAACACGGAATATGTCCTATACTACGAAGGCAACGGTGGTCAAACACCTGGATTCAGCCTTCTCATGTCTTCCACCTTCAACAGCCATGTTCCACAGGCAAACAGTGGAACAGACTGAACTGGTGTGCAGTACATGTGACCCTCAACAGACAATCAGATATCACGGCGTAAGTTGACAAAAGCCAACCGAGCCTTTTGTATTTGTGCAGAGATTTCATCGACCACTGACCCACTAAGGTTGATCCGACTTCTTAGGTAAATGAAGTGGTCGACACACTCAACTAATACACTCTGTATTGTTAGCCGCAGTGAGGCACCGTTGAACAACAATCCCGGAGCAACAATTTGCATTTGGATGGTGAGAACCGTATCCTAAACATCCTTAAATTGTCACTCAAAGTGTTCAGGAGAATCCGCATCTTGTTAGCGTCTTTACCTAACAGGATTATGTCATCTGCATGTCCTAGGTCTAACGAAAAGTCCCCACCGGTTAGGTCAACGTCTGTGTAATCGGGTGACGAGAGGGAGGTCTCCAAAGGAATATCTATGATAAAACTAAGTAGGAATGAAGAGAGTGAGCAGCCTTGCCGGACACCGCTCGACGGGCACAGCTCCCCGGACATCTCACCATATGCTCTAACATGCCCACAAGTGTTCGAGTAGAGAGCCTTCAATAAGGTGATGTACTTACTCGGGACGCCTTTTAGTGAGAAACATTGACATAAGACTTCTCGATCAATGGAGTCAAATGCTGCCTTCAGGTCGAGAAATACAGCTCGGTGGATACCATATCAGACAGTACCTTTCTTTATGTCTTAAACTTGTGCACTTGCCAAGAAAACCTGGAGTTCAGCCCCTTGAGCCATCATTCACGGGCAGTGTTGAGTCGCATACTAGGAGGGACCACTGTTCACTGCTCCCAGATTTTCATGTTCCTTCAACTGATTTCAGTCCATGATTAATTTCAAGTAACTCAACCCAGTACAGCTTTATTTAGTTGACTGTAAAGCCGCATTTATAGTATAAAGGATTATACTGATATCTGGTTGCCTGAGCTGGAGTAAATTGAGAGGGATACAGATAATAAACCTCTCCAGTCAACTAAATTAGTGACAACCAATCAGTCACAGTAAATCTCACAAGAAAGTACAGTAACTTCAGATAGTCACTTGTTTGAAGAGGCTACCTACTAGTTCCTTTTACAAAATGCTTTCACTAGCCACAAAGGGATGAGAAAAAAGTACCTTCAAAAGTCCTTCTGAAATCTCAATGCTGGTAGTACTTGTTGAAATCTATACAACGTGAACTACCTAAATTGTTTCCTTCTTCTCAATCGACATATTTTCTAAGTAGAATGTTCAAATTATTGTTTACACATCCTTCAACAATAGTTTCACCGCACTTATCACTTTTCATGAGAAACTAAGTAAAGCGTAAAGGTTACCTATAAAGATGTTAATTACCTGTATATGCATACATAACCTCACCTAGTTAACTAGTACACTAGTTACTAGACGGTACCTAAGCCCGGATAAAGAGGGAAGGTTGGGCATAGGGCTAGCAACCCTACACCGTAAAACCAGTCCAATCGCTAATCAAACTTCAAAGCACAAAGAAAATATAAAAAATAAACTTATTCCTCGCTGGAATCGGGGAGACGAAATAATGCGGGTTGGTGAAAGCCTTCACGAAGCCAATTGGTCGATGTGTTTTCCCTCCATCTCTCGATGAAAGCGAAAGTAAGAATGGGGACATGGAATGTCTAAACAATGTTTGAAGCTGGCTGGCTGGCAAGGCTGACCAGATTGCAAAATAGATAAGAAGATGTAGTATAGAAGTGCAAGGAAACTGCGAGGAATTTGTAGATGGAATGGAAGTGGACTCTCCAGGTCACCTAGACAACAACCACGAGCACATTGAGTTTTCGAGTGGCTATCATCATGTCCACAACACCATCACAAAGCCTCACTCTCATGCAGTGAGAACTAATCTCCTCCAAGATCATGAAAATTTATGGCAGTCGTGTAGCAAGATTGAAAAGACTGTAGAGAACAGAGTGAAATGGCGACGTGCTATTGAAGCCCTATGTTCCACTAAGAACCCAAAGGAAGAATAATAACAATAATAATATGCATACATATATTTATATTCACAATTAAGGATAACTTTGTAATACACAGTAGATACACTGAATTACGCACATATGTATAAATAATAATTATATATTGAAAAGAATAAATGTAACACATTTGTACTACATAAAGGATTTTCAGTAGAGGTATTACTAGAGAACCAAAAAAACAAAAACAAACAAAACAAGCAGGCGGAGAGAACTTGATTGATGTGAATAAAACATACATCGAAGAATTCACCAGGAAGTTAACCCATCAGGTAGAACAGGAGAAATACAACTAGAAACCTAGAGATAATCGGAATATATTTAACTATAGGTAGACAAATAGATAGATGTGCGCATTATGCATGTGTATACATACACCTATTTGGTCATCATTGTCATAGGATAGGAAATAATCTTTTTCATATCGAAAATGTAAACGCAAACAAGAGAGGCAGAGAGGCAGAGAGAGAGAGAGAGAGAGAGAGAGAGAGAGAGAGAGAGAGAGAGAGAGAGAACAAGGAACCAACTGATCGATGAGAAAGTCATCATTTAGAAATCACAAATTGACACAATTACTAATCAACTTGTTTATTATTGATTATTAAGACACCTAAATGATGATGATGATTGTCAGGCACTTTGATCAAGGTTAGGTAGTAGTACACAATGTTATTAGGTTACTAATTGCTTATTTCTATGTATAATTGATTCACTTCTTACTCAATAATAATCATAATCATAACGGTAATTAACATTATTACTGGTTATGGAGATGAGGTAAGAAATCGAATATTCACCTTGTATTCCAATTATTTTTTTTGAAGAAAGACTCTTTGTATTCATGTATTGATGCGTGCACACGCCTATGCCGTAATCTTCTTCAAGAACAACATGAGAAAATATAGAAATGATAAGAAAACAAACACTTGAAATTATATAGATTTGTGTATGTATGTTGTAGATTGGATAGAGAAATGAGGAATAAGGAAGAAGGGAAGATTGTTTCATCAACCGGATAATTTGCTCAAAATCGTGGATACAATCATTAGCCTTCAAATAGTTGATTATTTCATCATATACACATAATATTTAGCATAGGAAGATGGTGTAAATAACATAAATGTAATCAACTTAGACAATATCAGCCAACCAATAGGAAAGCAAGATGATAATAGAGTATTCATCATCAAATAGAAAACAATTCTGTGCTATTGTATCGTTTTGTACTTTATGAAAAATACTATAAACCATTACTATTCATGTTCATATATACGAGTATGTAGAACCAATTGAAACCAAAGGAACATAAAAAGAATCAATCGATAACACATTTTCAGAGTGAATTTTTTTTTTGTTGACAACTTTTACAACTATACAGACAAATATATGGTATATATTCATACTACTTGACTTTCAACAAATAAGTATATGAGTAGTATATACGCAGAATAAGTAGTAGACATATGAAGTTCATGTTGACAGGTCCCAAATACAACAAAATAAGTGAAAAAAAAATTTATTCATTGACTAATTAACCAATAAATAAATCAATAAATATACAGAGAATTAAAACAAAAGACAGGGAGAAAGAGGAAGGGTAGACTAGTACCATTCAACAATACTGATGATGATGTTACACAAATTTGTTATATGACTTATACAGAAAAGAAGATAAAACGAAAATGCAAACACTAAATTGGAATTGAACAAAAAAAAAAGAAGAGAAAGAAAACTATTACATAAATTATTTAAACAATGGAAAGGAGAAATTTCAAAGGAATCGAGCTAAGCAGCCAAAATATTCAACCAAGTTGACTAGATGAATGCAAAGACAAATGTGAACACATTGATGTACGTACATACACACACAGACACACACACATAGATACAAACAGATGGATGCACAATTGAACATAAATAGATTGTAATTTTTACTGTTGAAAAACAAGAATTCAGATCTAGCGCGCTATCCCCCCACTTCATAACCGAAGATTGAAACAAAGTAATCAGGCTTTGTTGAACACATTGAACCAGTGTGTGTGTGTGTGCGCTGGCGTACGTGTATCTCATAAACATAATGCCCAAAATCATGATAACAAAAAAATAATAATAATGAACGACACCTGAGTAGAAAAGTCGAACAACAAAGAGAAAAGCAGCATGCGCGCACACACACACACACACGAAGGCATAAAATCGAGTATAATTGAAGAGGATAAAAGTGAAGAATAGAAGAAACAATGAGCATAAATCAATTGTCCTTCTTGAACTCATAAAAGTAATCAACATGCATGTCACATTAGATAAATATAACAGTTTTCAATAATGTTATAGTAAAACCAGACTATGAACAATGAGATACTACTTTCAAGCCAATTAAGTAATTGATATTAAGCATGATAAAAACAATGTGAAAAAGAATATAGAAGAGAGAGAGAACACAAACAAAGATGAAACACTCGCCGAAAGAGACAAAATACACAATCAACACCGATGATGATAATAAAAAAAACCCACAAAAGAAAGCAGAACATTAGATAATAGAGGTTATACAATTTCATAAAATAAACCATTTGATGAACATACAGATTGAGAATTCTGTTTTACTTGTTTACTACTATTCTCATTCATAATACTACTATTATTGTTATTATTATTAGTAGTAGTATTAGTATTTCGTGATAAAGATAAACAATTCATTGAAGTGACACCAGTAACACTGGAACCATCCACAAGTTTACATACTGATGATGATGATGATGACGTTGAAGAAGTTATATGATCAGATAATCCTATCATCATTGAAGTAGTAGATATGGTTTATTTGAAGAAGATACTGTCAATGATTTATCATTGAGACAGTCTTCTTCAGTTAGTTGATTTCCATTGTGTAAACCATTTAAACGATTATTATTTGAATTATTATTATTATTATGGATAATTTGTTGTTGATAATTTATATTATTCAAATGTGAAGGATATCGTATACGTCTAGACTGTTGGTAAAAACGTCCATTAACAGATGGTGAATATGGATTGATTGATGGTACTTGTGATGGAGTAAAGTAAGGTGATATAAATGTTCGATATCTAGGATTCATTGAAAGTAGTTGAGATTGTACCGGATAAGCAGATATAGGATTTACAATATTCATACATGAAGTAACATTAGTTTCAATGGAGTTAATTTCATTCAATGAATTGACAGCAGTACTACTGATAGTAGTAGTATTAGTAGTAGTAGTAGTAGATGTTGTAAAATTTGTTTGTACTGGTTCTTCACTTAAAGCATCTTGAGGACCTAATACAGCTAAATGTGTCATAACTGATGTTCCACGGTTAACATTACGATCACGAAATCCACCAGCAGGAACAAAATACATTGGTGGTGGTGGAGGCGGCGGCGGCGGTGGGGGTTGTGGTTGTAATGACTGTGAAATAGAAACAGGAAAACTCATATTCGCCGGTAATCCTCCACTACTACCAGTTGGATTCATACAAAGAGGATTCAGATAACCACCAACATACGGGACAAAAGAATTTGCGGCGGCTAAAGCAGCTGCATGCGCTGCAACAACAGATGATGACTGTTGTAATCTGTATAATTCGGTCTCCAGAAGACGAGCATACGTTTTGTACCGTTGAACCTGAAATTAAACAAACAGACAAGTGGAAAACTAATAATCTACAGAAATACAATAGAATAAAGTGGGCAAAAAGTAGATCATCCATCCAAATCAACGTAGGACCAGGTATTACTACTTAACGGTCCAAGTTGCCACACCTCATACCGGTACATTAAGTAAAACAGCACTGAAGTGGAAGATGAAGAACGAAAGAAAATTCAGGCAAAAGAAATATACATAGTACTGAGAGAAAGAAAGGATGAGAAGATAATCAGATTAAGTATAGCGGTCAATATGAAGATAATGTGCATACACCTGCGCCAGACTTTAGTTCTCAGCTATATCACCTAGAGTCTCCAACCACTGGTTTCTCTTATCCAACGGACCCCAACCAGCTATTCATGAAGAATAAATAGTACAACTTATTGATGACATCTATTCAGGATACACGTTTCGTCCTATACTTGACACATGGACCTCAGTGAGTGATGTTGTTCCCACTGAGACTCGAACCTCTCACCCATCGCTTCAAATACCACAGCGTTATCCACTATGTGACGAAGGAAGGATAGCGTGTCCTGGATTTTTCTGCTAGCCACAACCAAATAAGTTACCTTAACTAACACTCAGTCAATATCGAGGCACCCACATAAGAGCCCATATGCCAACAGAGGTCCAACAATTTGATCTAGTAAAAACAACGGAGAATTGCAAGCATATATCGATAAATAGTAATAATGACGTGTATTCAGTTATACTTTCTTTGTTGATGGCTAAGAGTAGAGTCGGAAACGCCTGCTTCCACATTAACCAACCAGATGTTACTTACATTCCAACAAGTGATTGTATACTCATTGAAGCTCTCAATCCAGTACTAATCCTCTTCAAAAACCCCACAAGGTTAGTTATTCACTAGGCTACTAATCACGAAAATCATCTATTGTACAAAGGGGATTAGTTGAAACCTTCTTAGTACTTGTAGTTCTCCACGGATCATTTCGCCAAGACAAAAGCACCAATCTGGATTAGTATATGGGTTCATTGGAAGGATTAAACTGCTAGTGACCAACCATGTAGTTTAGATACATCTGCGTCACTGACATCAATTCTGAGCCATGTCATCTAGAGTCTTCTGTTGTCACGTGGACCCCAACGGGTTATTCTGCATCGGCCCATATGGCTCACACCAACACAGTCAAAGATTTCAGCCAAGTTTTACTCTGATCGTTTCAACCCATTTTTCAACCTGAACCTATTTTAGTTAACATTGTGCGACCAGAGAGACCATGTCTAGGCATGAGTAACACATGTCCTATTCATCTTAACCAACGAAGGTTCATGACTTTACTAACTGACTTTCCTCTTCTCCGTAAAACTCTACATCTGACTTTTTTGTATTACTGACTTAGTGACACGACGACAAACAGCCTATGCTACGGAACCGACGGTGGTCAGACACTAGAAGCCTTCTGATGTCTTCTATCCTTAGTGGATATGTTTCACAGTCATAAAACAGAACTCAGCGAACTGGATATCGCCAAGGCGGTGCCGTAAGTGAAGTAAGTTAGCAAAAGCCAATCGACCCTCTTATATCCATTGACCTACCAGCAATGATCCGACTTCCCAGACAAGTGAAATCGTCAACGCGCTCAACCATTTTAGATACTACCGTCCAAAGGGAACTAAAACACTTGAACGGTTATCTAGGCTTCAGGTCATCTTATCCAATATCACTTAAAGCGGGATTTAGTGAGATGTCTGATTGATAAAAAACTCACTATTGAATGAAAAGCTCTAACCAAAGGAACTGAAATTCATACAGGGAACACTACTTGATTAATATTTATCTCCTATTGTATTAATTAAGAAACTTGTAAGAGTACATAAATAGAAGAAGTAATAGTATTGTGAATACCAAAGATAACACAAATGGAAAGGAGTTCAAGGTTTATATTTTGTTCAAGTACAAGGAAGGAACATCAGAAACTTTATACAGAAGGTTTGAATTAGAGCAGCAATCAAACCTACAAACCCATTTAGAGGTAAACTTCATCAACTTAATGATCACACTGACCAGTTTCGATAAAATGATTTGGTGTACCAAATACCATACAATGACTATGAGTGACATCAAATACATCAGTCAAAGAGGCTGATCGAGATGAGTTAAATTATTGGAGAATAGAAATTTAGCCAAGTGTAGAATGATAGATCTCAATAACATCAATAATCTAAACAGAAAATCAGCTGTTCCAATGCATGCATTGACACGCAACCAACAACTGAACTCAAGCTTGATATCGTTAATTACTTGTAGGTAGGTAGGTAGGTAGGTAGGTAGGTAGGTAGGTAGGTAGGTAGGTAGGTAGGTAGGTAGGTAGGTAGGTAGGTAGGTAGGTAGGTAGGTAGGTAGGTAGGTAGGTAGGTAGGTAGGTAGGTAGGTAGGTAGGTAGGTAGGTAGGTAGGTAGGTAGGTAGGTAGGTAGGTAGGTAGGTAGGTAGGTGAAAGAGACTACTCCCTTTCAGTTTCTTCCACTGAAGGTGATTGGAGCTTGTTGTTGCGGTTGTTGTTGGTTGGGTATCCTCATCACCTCTACCTCTGTCTTCTCTACCTCCACCTGAAGGAAGTCCTGTCTTCGCTGCCTCGCCTCTCCTGTCAACTTGTTAGTTTTCGCCTGTAGATTTTCAAGTTTGTGTGATATTACACATAAGTCATCGACGAAATTCAGATCTAGGATCTTTTTCCCGGTCCAGCGTATCCCTCTCTTCTCACAGCTCCTCACTGTTTGTTGCATCATCCAGTCCACCACAATCAGGAAGATCATGGGTCATAGTGGGCGGCAGCCTTGTCTTACTCCTTCCTGTCTTCACTCCACTTCAAAGGCATCACTGAGCTTCCCATTGTGGATCACTTGGCATGTGGCGTCTTCATATAGTTGTTGAATGAGGTTGATAAAGGTTTGTGGTATTTCGTAGTGTTGAAGCAACTGCCTGCCAAATTACTTCTCGAACGATGCTGTCGAAGGCTTTTTCAAAGTCAATGAAGTTGAGGTAGAGTTGATTTGAATGATATTCTATGCTCTGTTCTATGATGATGCGTAGCGTTACAATCTAATCCGCACATGATTTGTACTTCCTGAATCCAGCTAGATGTGATATCATAGAACTATGAAAATGTTAAGATGTTAAAAGTTGCATGACACTGCGGATATAATAATGAGAGAATAAAGTATCCGTGAAATATCGTTCAGTGAGTAATACTTTGTAACACAGTGTGTGTTTCATACCAAGCAAACAAATGTAATGTAGAATTACAACCTGTTAGAGTGTCAAAGTTTTACACTTACACTAAGCTAACCACGTCCCAGCCATTACTTTAGACAATATCATTTCGATCATCACTTATATGTAAGATTAAATACCGTAACAATAATAATAGTAATGATAATAAGAACAATAATAACTTAAAAATTTGCTTCGTCAGTGTATTGTCAATGTCGTTTACTTGTTTTCTGGCGTACCGACGCAGACAGTCAATACACTAACACTTCTGTACTCACTTAATGTTACGTTGCTCATATATATGATGGTGGGTGGGGGTGGGGGGTGGAACAGTAGTAAATCATAGTAATGCATTTCACTGAGTTATAAAGTGTGTATTAAGGAAAGTCTAGGGTTTCATAGTGTTCAAAAAAAATCACCAGGTGTGTACATGCACAGATCAATTCGTAGGTAGATAGATAGGTGTAAGCTTGGTAGATAAGCTAGTACTGAAATATATAGGTAGAAAGAGATGAAGTCAAAGAGAGAGAGAGAGAGAGAGAGATCGCGGAAGTAGGCAGGAAAAAGAAAGCGGAGAGGCGAAAATCGATCTGTATGTTGGAATGAAAAAAGAATAAGGAGACCAAAAGGAACAAACCGCTAACGAACTGAAAAAAGTCTGAAACTGTAGTGGGAAGACGCACCGTCTACCCCTAATAACAAGATATGATTGAAAAACAGTCTTACCACCTGCGGATAAAGAAGAAACCACAGGAATACTACTACTACTACTAATAATAATAATGATAATACAATAGAGTACCGACTGTAAACACACAATAAAACGACCTAAAGCTTAAGTGTGCGCTTTTTCAATCAAGTGCTTCAGTATTTTGGAGTAGATCAAAGCAGATGCAGAAAATAACAAAAAAGTGAATAAAATAACTACCATCTAGTCTCTCTTTAAGTTTCACAATATAATATAGATTAGAAAAATGCAAAAATCACTTCAATAACAGTCTGAAGACAGACATAAACTAGCCTTGCTGACAAATGCACCTTCATCCAACTAAAATTCATAAAAGTGAATCGTGATACTGAATTGTCTAGTCTGGTAGCCATATTGTAAAACTAGTCGATAGAAATCAGTCAGAACTGATGACTAGACAACATACAATTCTTTCCCCATACACTGACTAATCACTCTATGTAATTCAGTCTTAAAGGAGTAGTAACGTCGCTAACGTATGTTTGAATCACACTGTGGACATCAGTTCCCTCGAGATTACAGATACACTTTTCTGACGAGGGCTAAGAAGCACGAAACCGTAGGTAGGATAGGGCTTGCTAACGATTGACTCTAACCAATATTATGCTTTTATCTCACGTGGAACAACTCTACCAAGAGAAATTACAATACGTGCAAATGTTTAGGATTGATTGGAATCAGTATATCATCTTAAATGCTTATAAACAGTATTCATCGATCCATTCATCCAAATCAACATAAGACCAGGAATTACTGCATGACGATCCAACTTGCTACACCTCATATCACTACATCAAGTAAAAACGCAATCAAAAGAAATATAAAGTACGAAAAGAGAGAAAGGAAGAATGAGAAAATGGTGAGATTCGGTAAAGCGTCATTAAGATGAGGATAATGTATGTGAGGATACATCTGTGCCACTGACATCAATTCTCAGCCATGTCATCACCTACAGTCAGTCTCCAACCACTACTGCTTTCTCTTGTCCCACC